TGAACTGTCTATGCAAGACACTTCATTTTGAGAAATTATTCGGTTCGAAACTTGAAGCTGATTTTTGTCAGAAAATTGATTGAAATTCTGTAGAATAGAAAATCGAAATTCTGCAAAATTTTGACGAATCGTTGGTGAAGTTAGAAATGTATTCGAAATTCGTTCTATTCTGAATAAAAGTCTAAGTTTTCTGGTTTTCCATCAAGTTCATCATTGGTTGGCATTTCATGAGATTTTGCTTCAGTTTAATTACCATTCATGTTATAAAATGTAACCTTTTTTTCATTGAATGACTCTTGTTGTGAAGCCTTTATAAGTCACTTTATTGGCCAATAATCAGATGGATCAAGTTTCAATGAATGCTGAGAAAGTAATTATCAATTTGTGCATTTGAAAAGAATGTTCATTTATAAGTTTGCTTCTTTAACCATTTCCATCAAACTCCAGTTAATATCATGTTAATGGTGTCAATTTGCACTGATACCGATGATTATATGCAAATATAACGTGATTATGAGCAGTTTTGTACGAGAATTGAAAAGGAAAGGAAAAGTATAATCAAAAGAAGGTCCCATTAACTGTACCATGATAATCATCATCATCATTTATTATCAACCAAATACTGAGTGTGAATGATGATGATACAAGTAATGAATCGTCATTGGAATACAATATTGATTTCCATTTCAATTCTGAAACTTTCTGCTTCTCTCTTTTGTTCAGGATAAATGTTACAAAAACTCATTCTTTACCCTGAATATTACATTTTAAATGTTTATTGCTCGATAAACATAAACAGCATTCAACTGGCGTTAATAAAGAGGCAAACAGTTCTCATTAACATCAACAATTGAACCTAAAAATGTTCATTTAAATGGTTCCTTTTTATTGACCATTATCTTGATATTATTGTCTTAATATTGCGAGGGATAAACATGTTTACTTGAAAGTGAATAAAATTTACAAACAAAAACAATGTTCATTTGCATTATCCATTGTTATAAAACTCAATTGTCTATCCAAGTTGCTTCAATTGCGTTTTATTTTCCATTTATTTCTGCTAATTACCTGTTCAGAGTTTCTGTTGAAAATCCTTTCGAAATAAAAATGACAATTGAAACTTTGAAAGCTTTCATTAGGTTAGATTGCGTTAGGTTGACTCTTGTTAAACAGTTTTCAGCAAATTTTCACGATTAGTGCGTCGTTTGGTTTACTGGGCAAAGAAGCACAACCTAAGACTGAGCTTTTCCAATATTTCTATCTGTTTATATGCGAATGTTTCAAGTCTCACTCTTTCCTGACTGGAAGCCTAATTTGGTGTAAGCTTTGGATGCCAAATCCATGCCTTTTTGGCATCGATTTACATTTATTTTAAGCTGTTTTATGAAGTCGTGTTTGTGTGACAATAAGCTTGAGATTCAAGAAGTAAAACCCATTCTTGGATAGGTGACAGTTTGATAGAGAAAGTCATATTGAGCTTTGAAAAGCAAATCGAAAGTTCGAGTAATTACTGAAATAATTAGACTGTTAACTCGTACTTTATTGTGTTTCAAAACAATGTATTGTTATGAGATGGATGGAAGTTAATCAAATGATTATGATTTATGATCTTTGCAGTAGTTTAAAAGTTGTGGTTAGGTCGATATATAGTGGGATAAAAGGTTGAGGCATTTAAAGATTTGGTCGGAGGTGAATTGAATTGATGGAATGGACTATGTTGCGAACTTTCTTCTCTTCAATACTATTGGAATCAGTTTATGAATATTATTAGTTTGGCTTCTGTTGAGCGCAAGATTGATGTGATTGAATGGATTTCGCAAAAAGCAACTTCTAAACCCAATTATTGGAGGATCGAAAGATTGACTGGAAACGTGTCAATAATGCTATTATTGGAATATAAACTGGAATTGAAAGATCGCGAGAAGAAAATTAAATTGATATTCCTGTCTGGATTGTTTACCTTTAATGGTCAAGTAAAATATAAAAGGTCAAAAGGAACAATGGAAAATTGTGAGCAAACTTTTCAAATTATTCCATTCACGGTTGAAACAAAGTTCTTACTCTCAGTTTATAACCAACTTTGAGGTGTAATTTTAGCAACGAAAAATGGGAATAAAAGTTGATTGAAAGTGAAAAATAGAGCGCAAATAAACCACTAAACTCACCAAAATTTTTGGCATTTTAATAAAATCCAAATTGGAAATCCAAAAACTTTGAAATCTTTTTCAAGATTCAATTGTTTCGCTTGTTTAACATGTTTTTGATCAACTAAATGCTCATGTAATGTTAAATTGATTGAGTTGAACATGAAACTTGTCTGCTAATGAATTTCTCGTTACAAGGAAAAGTCTAAAAAATTGAAAATCGCTGTTGGCTAAATGGTGAAGGTTGAACAAAAGTTGATTTTAATGAGAAACAAAAGGCTAAATGATAATAATTAATGGATTGATAAACATTGGGAAAAGCTTTTCGCTATTAAAATATTATTCTGGCAAAAAGGTAAAAGTGGAAAATGTTTCAAACTTTTGGCAGATAATTTAATCTTTAAACTGAATCCTCTTTTCATTTTACCATTTACTTTAGATTCTTTAACAATTTGTGTTTCCAGTTAAACTTCATCACTAAGTTATCATCTCTTTTTTTAAGGTAAAAGGCAAATTTGAAACTCTTCTCATCATCATTTTCACTCACTTCATCATGCTCTGAATTTCTTGGTTTGTTTACATTTTACAGAGTAAATTGTTAATGGACTTTTTCACTTCACTTTTTACTTCCACATTTCAAGCTCGGCTTTTTTACTCTTTACTTTTGTTCAATGTTTAAAGGCTGCCAATACCAGCTAACTATCAACAACCTTCAGGGAGTCAATTCTTGATATTCCCAGTCTAGTTAAGCACCAAATGGATAAACAATTTTAACGAGAAAATATCGTTTCAACTATTATTTTGTTTTCACTCGTTTAACTGTTTAAAGTTGAACAAATGGAAACAAATTTCAAGTAAACTTTGCCTCAAGAAAGTAGTGCTAATTGTAGGGAAATGTTCATCTTTTTGCATTTCAATAAACTTCTAATTGACGAAATCTTTTGAAATATTTTCTTATGAATTGTTTACCTTCTTTCATGGTATTTCTTTTGCAAATTATCGATCGAAAGAAGAGAAAATATTGACTGTTTTTCAATTGAATTAGTTGATCAAATGAGAGGTTTTGAGGCAACGATTTACTTGATTGTAACTTGAGTATTGGTAACATTTTATGCATTTGTATGAAACAGAACTAGAGTTTGCATTCTTGTTGAAAAGTATTGTGTTTTCCCAATACTTTTCTTGTTTTTAGATTCATTTCTAAATAGATTTTGAATAAGTTTCTTCCAGTCGAAACAGGCAGAGGTGCCATAAACATGACCATAGGAAAGGATCAAATTACACGGGTTGCACGGTCATTTGAATTCCTTAAATTTGAAGAAAAAGATACCCAAAACACGTACAGATATTATCCGAACCCAATTTGTGCAACCAACCGAATCATCAATTGATCTGTGATAGTTAGACGTCTTTTCTGAGAGATGGCTAAACACATTATAACACGAGACAAGTACGGATGAACAGCTCTAAGTCTGTCTCTCATTTCATGCCAAGCCGGACATCTCAGCAATTGTCTCGATCCTTTAATCAATCCTTTCTAACTTTACTAGCTCTTCAACCGAACTAGCAATTGATTCAAGAAATTGATACACAATCAATGGCTACTATTATGGAAGTAGTCATTGATACTTTTTTAAACGCATATTAATGCGTTAAACGTGCAAAACGTAAAGAGAAAAACGATTCTAGCTGTTCATTTTATGTGCTGGTTGTATGCTCTTTCTAGTTTGCATACGGTGCAAGTTTTGGATTGACGAGTCTGTAGCTTTAATGTAATATTTGGTTTTTAGGATTGAAAGGAAAGGGTCAAATTGTTACTGTTTCGATACACTCATTTAAATTTCTAGCAACAAAAAGAAAGTTTAGCGTTTTCTGAGAAAAGGCTATACATATCGCATTAAAACATGAGATTTAAGTACGGGTGAACCTAAGTCTGTCCTTCGTGTCATATTAAGCTTGGCTTACCTAACCTCTAGGTGAAACCTAACATCTTAGCAATCCTTTTAACTTTAACAGTTCTTGTGGAAGCAGGCATTTGATTATTTTGAATATTACTGCGTTAAACTCAAGAACAAGAGGCAAACGATTCTGGGTGTTTATTTTATGCACTGGTTTTATGCTCTTTCTAGTGTTCATAGGTTAAAGATTTGGGTTGACTGGTTAGTAACTTTAATTCTAATATTTGGTGTTTTGGATTGAAAGGAAAGGGTAAATTTAAATGTTGAAAAGTGAGGAAAAGAAATGAAAACAAAGTTTCAATTGAATTAAAAAATGAAAAAGGTTCATCTTTAACAAGTTAAACTTGCTCGCTGGTGATTTATTGGGAAAAATAAAATTTATTGAACCATGTTGAGAGAAGACAATTTATTTCAGTTGCATCTTTATCATGGGATGAGGAAAGAACCTTGAGGAAGAGGCAAAAGAAGAGGCAAAAAGAGTGAAAATGTTTGTTAAAAGAGAGGAAGATGAAGAAGAAACGAGATGATGAAGAAGATGATAAAGATGGAATGATTTCACATTCGATTCTATTCCAATCAATATGATATGATATATGGTATGATATATGGCCTCAGTTAAGATGGTTACCAGTGTTGAGAGGTGAAGCTTGAAAAGAGTTAAAGACTATGATGATGATGATTACAATGAAATCAATGAAGAAAATGTAGAAAAGGCGAAAGAAAAGACAGACAGGGAATTTCAACTCCCAGCATTTTGGCTGATAACAGCTCCACCTTATCCTTCCACCGTCATGCTCAGCATTTTATATCATTTTGTATGCTTTTCAGTGTAACTCATTTTTATACTTGTTATCGTCAATTCTTAGCATTTCTCATTGTTCAACTTTCTTCCTTTCAGTTGTTTCTTGCTGGTGAAAACGGTTATCCTAAAATAAATAACAAAAGCCACTGAAGAGGATTGTACTAATAAACCAACAACAAGGTAAAGAAACGCAAATTTTTCTTCTTTTCGTGCCTTCGATCTTGGAATTTCATCTTTACTGTGTTTTTTTGTATTTCGCTTTAAATCGTTCATCTTTTCAATCAGACAATTTAAAAATTGCTATTTCAATCTTGTTTCATGCCATTCATCGATATTGTCTTTCACCTTTCAATGGATTTTTCACCTTTCTTTTTCGGATTCTTTTCTTTCTTCCAGTTAATCAACGTCCAAACCCATTGATCATTGTGATATCACTTGACTAACATCAAATACAAGTTTTCCTGTTAACTGCAATTTTTTAAAAGCATCCAAACAAGGAGACAAAAATGGCAGCCTTTATAGCTAAGCAAATGGTTGGTAATCAACTCTCTGCTGTTAAAGGTAAATTGCATTTTCATCATTTAACATTCAAAGCGACAATTCAACTCAATTTCACAGTTATCATGTGCATTATGTGCTGATGAACACTTAACTTGATAAATGGTTTGACGCCAAATTGTGTCCCATTTATCATCTATTTATCAAACAATTTTAACATCATTTTGAAATTTTCATTCCAGTTTCATCGAGAAATTGGTTTACAAATGCGTTCGATATTTGAGCTAAAGTTAAATCAGATTAGTTAATTGTTGGAAGAATTGAAAGTTTATCCTAAAAATTAATGTTACATTTGGTTCGCTTTTAAAGCATTTTGATTAAAATTTAACTTTTGCAAATGATTTTGTGAATAAAATTTCAATAACATTTCAAACTGTGAAAATCATTTTCACTTTTGAAATGAAATTTTCAAATCCATTAACTTAACACATTTTACGTGCTTTTCAGTTTCCATTCAAGTTATACTTCGTTTCAATAAATTTAAGTTATTTGAGGAAGAACAAGATTTTACTTCTTTTTTTGTTCAACTTTGGCTTATTTTAAAATGCTCAGCTATTTGTTTGTTTGAATGTTTTTCATGAACTTCTAATTGATTCCCTATTCAATGAATAGGATTGATAGACAATTCTGTAAGAAGAGAATCTCAAGAATGCAAAGAAAACTTATATTCTTGACTGGATCAAATTAATTGGTGAACAAAATGACAGAACAGAAGACAGAATTGTCTTTTTTATTCAATAATCAACCAGAAACAGTGAATAGAAGCAAATTTTCAAGAGTTTCATTCGAGCAACCTTTTGTCACGTTGTCAGAGTTTCATGATATTCAATCAATTGATTGAATAGGAATCTAAAGTACTGCAATATTTATCAACCATTCAAATGGAAAAACTAATTCAAGATAAATTCAAGATTGCAATAGAATTTTAATTTGTTCATCGATCGACAATTGTACACAAAAATGCAGCTCGACTTTGCGATCAATTTTCTGTAACTGAACATGTTCTTACATCTTTTCATGAAAATCCAGGTCAATGTTAAGAGATTTTCAGATCGATTCTGATCGATAATAAGAAAGTATAATTATAAGAAAATTACAGATTTTATTCAATGAATTTCGTTGATTGACCCACAAATGTCAAACCAGAGTTGCTTTTTAAGAACATCAATTTCAAGTTATCGAATTTGTTGCATTAATTCGAGAATTTTGCTGAATCAGTTTCTTTTCCAAAGATATTCGAGCAAATCAAGCGAACTATTATTGAATTAAAAAATAACTCGAATAAAATTTAAAACATTTGCTGAATTCGAGTCGAAATGCTGGTTGATTCAATTCTCTATTTGGTTCGGAGAAGTGAAAAGAATTGTGCTGAAGTTTCAATTTCTTGTTCATCAAATGAATGTTGATCAAGTTCAATGAAATGATCGAGAAAATTATGTCCATCATTCCAAGTCATCATCATCTCTAAATGAGCCATTTGATCGCGAAACAAGAAAAGTCTGGTTTGACTTCGAATGAAATTTAAGCGAAAGTCTAACTTTTTTTCAATCGATTGGAAGTTGATTGTTGAATCAGTTTTGCAGGTGAAATTTTCAAGGCTATTCTTTGATCGATTACAACTTGAATCAGGTTAACCATGCATGTTTGCATGAATAGTGTTAATTGAATGAGAACGACATTGAATAGAGTGAAATTGTCTTGTTATTGTTGATGAAATTACTTGGAAACGAGAGGAAAAAGTTGATCCATTTTTGGTCCACATTCAATATTCAATATAATACTTTTGTATGCATTCAATGTTTAGAATTGATTTTCATCAAAAAGTAATTCATTAAATGTATAACAACTAGAACAAAGGGAAGAAAGAAAAGAAAGGCAAAAGGTTACAATCCAAATCGATCCAATGTCCACATATCGTTATGAATAAACAGCCAATTTATATCTCAATGTTGTCACATTTAGTTACATTAAAGAATAAAAAAATCCTTTTTACTTTCAATCTTTTCTTCAATTCAGGTTAATATCCAATATCGTTTTGTGCCTTTTAGTTTAATATGGAGTGAAAATGACCGAGAAAAGGTTTGAAAAACAATTGAAAATGAATGTCAATGAAGAGTCGTGAAAGTGAATTGAAATGTTTTCTGTTTGATGATTTACTAATAAATTGCATTTAGTTGAATGGCATTTTTATCAACGAAGTTCAGGTAAAAGTTATTCTGTTTACTCTTTGATTCTTTCAGCACTTCCATGAATTCATTATTTGGATTCTCAATGGAATCTGTTAAACTAATGATTAAAATGGCAAAAGATTTTATTCCTTTTAATGTATTTGTTCAAGAAACAGATTCAATCATTAATCGAAATTGCAGTTTTCTTATTCTAAAGCTTTTCTTAATTGACAATTTTACTTCTAATTCCTTCTTTTGACGATTCGATAGCAATTTTATTCATCATTGCAAATCAATGTTTGATCAAGAAGCAAAAACTTCGTGAGGTTTCTTTTTCAGCTCATGCAATGTTTCATCTTCGAGGAATCGCTTTGGTTCTCGATTTAAAATTGTTCATCATTCAAATTTATGACAATTTTGTTGTTAATAGCCGAAATTAGGGAAGAAGTGAACTGTAAAAATAGATTTTAATTGCGGTTGAATGGTTGAATGTCAATGAAACAAATGACTTGGCTGAAAAGATTGAACGGAAATCTATGAAATGATAATTGCAATAGACCTTAGACCTGGATATTTGGATATTGAATTGAAGGTTAAAAGGGTTGTAATTAAAGTAGTTTATTATTGTTTATCACAATATGTTAGGTAGCACAATAGCAATCAATAAAACTTGAAACTATGTACCTTGAATTGCTATTCAAATGTAAATACTGTATCGATTTTATCCTTTTATTTAATCCTTGATATTAACAATAAGTTATCCATAACAGTAATTTTATAATCGATATGCATGCAATATATAAAATCAAAGCATCATATTTTGAGTCAAACTGAGCGCATTCTAAAGGAAATTTATGCACAGCAAGGTAGCCATTATTATACCTCATCCACGTAAAACAGTCAGAACTTTTACGGAATTTTAGAGAAAGGAAAAAATGCAGAATCCGTGTTGCAAACTATTGCGTTTGAGAGACAAACTCTTTTGGTTATACAAAATTATGGTCAGATTAGAAGTAAAACCTAAAAAAGGTCGTAATCGCTTGTAGTTTTGTGACCCTAAGCCTTTCTTGAAGGAGACAGCTTTCAGAGTTATCTACCTTTGGGTTTATTGCGGATTGCGGGGTTAACCCAACCTCAGGACTTTGAACGTTAACCTCAAGATGCAGGATACAAAAGGCGAAGTTTAGCAATCTTATTGCTTACTTTAATCATTAGGCTTTTTGCAAAGGTTGCACAGTTGTTCCACAAATGGTGCCGCTCTAGCAAGCCTTAGCTAGCTTTTAGTGTGTCTTTCGAGTTAAGAGTGGAGAGGTGGACCTAAGATCTGTTGCCTCAACTGTACAAAAGGAGACAAACAGTTTCAACTTTAAAGTCGATCTTGTCAGACTCTCGATCAGAAATATTTTACACAAATGAACTCAATTTTAACGCCATTACACACTCACTAAGCATCGCATCTTAACCCAAATGCGACAGCTTTTATGTGCGCTTAAATAAAGGCTTTTTTATCTTGAAAAGAATCTCTGACGAAGCCTAAAGGTTTTGTTTTCTGGACTTTTCATTCTGACGATGGTTTTTTCTAAGAATTCTGGTCTTTTTGATGTAGATTTTACTATCTTGTGTAGGAAAAAGACCTTTACGGTTTGTCATGATCGAACGAACCTCTTTTCTAAATAATCAACATTAAAATCGATTTTTTGCTTGCTTCCAAAATAAATACAGTTTAGTTGGTTCGGCAAATTTTAATAAACATTTCAGCAAAAATAAAAACGAGAAAAGCAAGAAAACCTTTCAATGTTTAATCAGATCATTATTATAGTCGACTGATTTACCAATAAAGTAGAACATTTTTCCTCTCAATTCCCGAGAATTTCAATGATAATCATTTCTCTTTTGCCATATTTTTACTCTCATCATTATCATCTTTCATCCTTTCAGCATCTTTTATCCTTTTGTTTCTGATCCATTTTTACCCATCATCAGACTGTCTTTTCAATTGATGAGAAACTTCTTATTTCCACCAAAATGAGCTCAAATATTGATGATTGATCAATCCTTACGGAAGAAAGGGAAGAAGAAGAAGAAAAGAAGAGAAAAAAGTTGAAACATTTCTTCTTGCGATTCTTTCTTCCCTTTCTGTATTCAATATCACTTGTCATTTGGTCAACTTTTAACCAATCATTCGGACCATTTGACCGTAAAGGATGAAGTAAAAGACAAAAAATATATACAATTTTACCTTTTGCTTTACCTTTATTTATAACCTTCTCATTTTCAACCTTTTACTGATACATTTCAAATTGTTATCATCTTTTGTTATTACTGTTAACATTGTTATCAGCACATCAAGTTGAGAGGTAAAGACATTCAATTTCATGATTACTTACAGGGAATCAATTTTTTGGCCATTTCTGTTCTTGGATTGAGAATGAAAATAATCAACTTTATTTCAAGTGTAAACTTGTTTACTTTGATAATAAGCTAAAGTAAAGATATAATTCAATTAAAATTTGATTGAAGAAGCTGAACATTTTTCCTTCTTTCAATTGAACATCCTTTTTGATTTCACTTTTTGATTACAATTTTAATGAGAAAATTTGATTTTACAAAACATTCTGTTTACTCGTTCTTCAAATGTTTTCACGAGTTTAGGTGAATCTATTAAATTGATTAAAGTCAATTTCACTTCAACTTTGAGTTTCATTTGCATTAATCAGATGAAAAAAATAGTTAACCAAAAGAAGGTAAAATTGAGCAAATTATATTTAATTGTGAAAACATGAGAAGCCAGAGAAAAGAGTAAATATTGATTTAATATTAATGAGTTTATAATTTGATCTGAACAAAAAAGTTGAACATTTCTCGTGATTACATTTATTTGAGTGATAATAATGAGTCTAATCTAATTAGATTGTAATTACAATTGTTTAAGGTTCACTTGATTTCACTGTTAATATCAAAATTGTGTTTCTTTTGGTTAACATTTGTATTTTGGTTTACATTTGAAACATCATCAGATTGGCTGAAAAGTTCAATAACAAAATCCAGATTCACCATTCAAGGAAAAGAGAATGAATTTCGAAACTTTTTTTCGAACTTTGATTTGTTCGAATGATCAATTTTGTGTCTTCCTTTGTTCGACTGATGATGAAGAACAGATAATTTTGTAAAGAATGAAATGAAACGCAATTTTAACGAAATCCCTCCCAAGTAGCTGGGAGGTAAAATCATTCCCAGTTGATAATGGCTCAAAGTTAGTCAAGGTTTGGAAATAATAAATGAATTTTTTTTCGAAAATCATTAATTCTTTTCTTGAAAGAATTTTATTCAAATAGATTTTTACTGTTCGAGTCTGAACACGAAGGATTGACAGATTTATCGAGATTTTAGGGAAATAAGAAAATTATTCACATTTTTCATGATAACTTGCAATTAAGCATAAATCTTCATTTTCCTTTTCAAACATTCCCCTGAAATGGAATGTAAATGTTTTTTTGTTGTTTTCAAGTTTATTTTGTGGAATAATATTTTTACATTTTATAACTTTAAATGAGCTTCTGTCATTAAAGGAGAAAAGGTAAAGTCTGAAGTTGAATTTGAAACTTGAAATGGGATTTGAATGTTTCTCTGCAAATTGTAATTCGAAGTCAAATGCTTTTTTATGTTCCATATCGATTACATGTTGACCCTGGTGTTCATGATATGTCCATGTTGGAATTTGATGAGTGAAATAAGAAACGTCTAAAGATGTTTTCAGTGAAATCGCAATTTCTCATGTTGAAGGTTTTCCATCATTTTACAATTTCCTTATTTGCTATTGGAAATGAACACTTGCCTTTAGCAAAGATTTCATTAAACACTTTTTGCTTCTCATGCTTTGAGAGGCATTTGCTTGGAGAATTAAAAAAAGTGTGAATTTTTCAAGTGCAAAGTTTAATAAAAAATTCAGTGAACACTTGAAGATAAGACTGGAACAAGGTGATTCAATGAATGAATCAAAATCATAATCTTCATTTAACATTAAATTAGTTTGAGCATCAGCTTTCATCTTGAAGGGAAGAATCAGAAGAGAGGAAAAAAAGAAGAGAGAAAAGTTGAACAAGATTAATCAGATGAATTGTTGTATAATAACAATGATGAAAGCTTAACACCGATTGCTGTTAACATGGTTCAACTATTAAAACTATGGAAACGTTTTGCTTCTGTTCAATCTATTATATCATGAGAAGCTTAGTTGGACGATTAAGTCGAGACTGAGCCTGAAACAAGGCTTGAAACAATATTGATTGTCAGCCTTTAAACACAATCAGATAACATGTTTAAACAGGTTTAATCTGGAGAAACATCTAAAGCTGAATATTTCATCGTTTAAATTGTTATCAAATTAAAGGAAATTGGTTTCGTTTTGTTAAATGATCGCTTCTTCAAAATTAAACTCCATTTGCATGATAAAACCAAGAAACAGCTTAACAACCTTAATCATTGAAATTGCTAGCAAGAGCTTGCCTTAAAAAGATTGAATTATTGATTTTAATTTTAAATTGTTTTCTTTAACCATTAATAAATTAATGCTGTTGGCTGGGCAATTGTTGGTTAAAGGATTTCAGGTTTGATTGGAAGCAAAAATATTGAATTACAAGTCAACATTTTTGTCAAATTTAATGATATTGTATTATGATAACGATATTATTATTTTTGGTTATCATGGTAAATTGAAATCTCATGTTTCCTGATGTACAATTTTTTTGCCTCCAAATATATTTCATGTTTCCCTTTGGTTACCAAAAATGCACATAAAACCATGTAATACAATTATCAATATAAATTAATATCAATGTAACTCTTGAAAGTAGATTTCCAGACTTTTTGTGTTCCACTGAAGCTTTTTTTCCGATTTTCATGGTTTTCTTCATTAAAACTCTGATGAAAAGTCAATTTTGTTTCTATTTTTCTTTCCATCCAATCAGTATTTTTGATCAATAATTCAATAACAAAAATGTCGAGTGTTGGAAAGTCTGTGAGAAGAAATTAAATATGAATGAGTTTATTGAGATTAATTGTTGCTTTGGAAGGTAAAGACACTGAAGGTTTACTAACGGTTACTATTTGATTCAGATATTGGCGGAGGTGGTGATAGTGCTGAAGATAAGGAGAAACTGGAAGAACTGGAAAGGGAACGACTGGAGGCTCTTCGAGAAGCTGAGGAAAGACGACGAGAGAAACATCGAAAAATGGAAGAAGAAAGGGAAAAGATGCGACAAGGTGTCAGGGAAAAGGTAAGTTATCATTATGTTGACATTTTTCATCTTCATTTTCATTCCATTACTCGTCAATTCCCAAATCAATTCATGTTTCCATTGAATACTAAACATTTGTCATATTTATTAATATAAATATGAATCCATTGAAATAACGTCTAGATGTTTACAGACAAAAATAAGTCAATTTTATATAACACAAGAAAAGAGTCGGTAAAAGTTGAGACACTATTTTGAGGAAAACACAAAATACGAATCAACTTGAAATTTAATGTTACCTAACAAACCTAATATAGATTGATTGTGACTTGAATCTGCGTGTTTGTTATCTGAACAATCATTGAAGTTGTATAACACGGAAATGAACAGAACATGAATAACATTAAATATTGTGAAATCTATTGTGAAATTGAATAAATTGTGAAAATTACAATTCATTTTCTGAGTAAAAATATAAAAAATGCAAGATTCTTTCAATTTTGCATTCAATATCTTGTTGAGCCTGGTGAAGCTAATTTTATCCTAACATTTAAAACACTGAATTAAATGGACGTCAGAGGTTGTGGTGTAAAAATTCGTCATTGCTTTGTAACCATCGCTTGGCAAACGATTTTCAATTGAATCCAAGTTCCAATGATTAAAACGTTGACAAAGATGAATTGATTGATTGTGCCATGTAATGTCCATAATCGACTCCTTTTTCCTTGTTGGTAAAATTGTCCATATTGAATCTCTATTGATATGGGATATGAGAAAGAAGTTCATTTTTAGTTTAGTTTTCAAGTATTTGGCTGCATCAAGACAACTGTCTATTCATTGAACGCTTGGTTGGATGTGAAGTTGTTAGAAAGGACAAATTTTGACAAATTTCTCGTGAAACAAAAGAAAAATTTGGACAAAATGTAAAAATGTTAACATGGAATCACCTTGAATGAACAAACTGACAACTAAAATTAGGTAAACAAAATGAGATAAAACGGACAAGTTATCATTCCCTGAGCATTGCGAGTGCAAAATATAAATACAGAGACACTGAATGCAACATTAACTCAGCTATTCACGTCAAATATCAATTTAAAAATGAAACAAGAAGCGAAAATATGTTCAACTTTAACAGTTATTTTTTCTTACATTTTATTCAATATATTAATAAATATTAAAACAAGATGAAGAAACGTTTCTTCCTGATTCACTGGCAACCCTTTCACGAGCAAAACCTAACTTCAACCTATTATCAAGACTCTTATTAACTTGCTTTTTTGTTTTATTTCATTTCCTAAGCATTTCATCAGTTATTTTTTACCATTAAATTTATTTTTGTATTTCATATGAAGCACAAAAATTATGGAAAAGGTAAAAAAATATAAAAAATTAACATAATTTAACTTTGCCAGTCGTTCAAATAAAATACATTATTATCATTGAATATGTCTTGCCATTGAAAAACAATTGAAAGTAAAACAATTTCAACATTTTATCGTTGATTAATGATTATTTATTTGAACGATTATTGAATGTCTGTTCAACTTAAAGCCAAGTTCAATTCACATTTTCCTTGTCTTTTACCAATCGATCAAATTGGCTGTTCCTTGTAAAACTGCAAACAAAAGGTAATCAAAATTTACTTAACTTGTCTACTTTGCATTTCCATCCATTCACTTGTTTGTTTGTTGTTTGTTTATTCATTTTTGCTTCCATTTTTTGTTGATTCTTGCTGTTGTCTGAGTAATAACGAAATAAAAAAAAATGGTAAAACTCAAATGATTATCATGATACTTCAATTGATGTCTTCAATGATTGTGTTTTACCTTTAAAAATGTTGAGAGAAGCAAAATTTTACTCACAATTGTTCCCAAATATCATTTGTTATTCGTATTGGCCAATGAACAATTTTTGTTCCTATTCAATCAATCATGTCAACTTAGTCCATTTCATTTTATTGGTTCAACATTTTCCTCTCCTTTTATCATCTTTTCTTGGTCTTTTTTTTTCTCGGTTCAACTTTTTTGTTCCTTTGGTTCTCATAATCTGATTATAACTTATAGTTGTTTTGTTTTTTGCTTTTCCTTCTTTTTTTTCTTGTCTATTCCTTTTGCCAAAACACTTTTCTATGTTGATGTTGCTTGCAAGTGAAAATTGAATATCTTGTTAGGTTGTTGATCAATGGACCAATCTAACATTTTAAGTTTCTTCCATTTCTCACAATCCAATCGAAACTGGTTATTTTTGAAACAAAACATGGGAAAATATGATTCCATCTCAAGTTGCTATCTTGTTCTTTTTCCACCCAATCTTGAATATTGGAAACAAATTGTAAAAATAGTTGCACAGTGAGAATCGATGAATATTTTGAAGCTTTTCGCCGCTTTACTTTTCCTCCAACTTTGTAATCCAACTGCCATTCAAACTGTATTTAACTTGATTCAAAGGTTAATTAATGTTTTAAGGAAGGCTTTAAGTCTTGAAATTACACATTCTGGCTTGGATTGAAACATTTCCATTGGATTGACTTGAAGGTTTGGCTTGATTTAGATGAGCAAAAAATTGAAGCCATTGGAGGTAAACGGTTCAATGAAACAACTGGTAAAGTTGATTGAAAGGATTGATTAGTGTTGCCTCTAATAATTGATCAACTGCAACTATTCATTGAATCTAACTTTATTCACTCTTTAATTGTATCCAGATGAATCGTTAATCTCACCAAATAATGTGTTCCTGGCATACAAAGGTGAGTCTAAAGAGATTAACGATAGCAAAAATGATTGCAAAGTAAAACATTTACTTTGATTCAATGTTGTATGATAAATTTTGGGTGATTAGAGCTGCTTTTCCCATTCTTTGGCATCATCAGGAGAAACGATTATATATGATTATCTGATGGAAAAGAAATCTAAAGAGACGAAAAAGAGAGAAAAAAGAAACGAAAGAAAGAAAAAAAAACATGTTATTATTGGTTACATTCATTTGATTGGAAATATAAAAAAAGCAACTCACAAATCAAGATAAAAGGTAAACTCTTAAGATGATGATGATGATCGACTTTTTGCAGGGTAAAGCGAATGATGATTTTGATGGCGAAAAGGTGAATGTCAAGAGACTAATGTCATCTTTTATTTGTGTATCCCAAAGGCATGTAATTCATAAAGAGTAACCCAAGATAAAAGGTACGTTTCTCACAAAAAAAGGTATCAAATCGCCTGAAGATTGCTTCTTCTCTTTTTACCTCATTTACTTTAATAAACGATTTAGTCTCAATCCTTTAACTCCTTCAGTTTTTGCCTTCTCAAAACACCTTTTTAGACGTCAATTCAAATCTTACAAATCACAATTTAGCTTATAGTAACTTGTATATTAAATCATTCAATTCTGCCTGTAACTATTATCTGTTAACTAACACAATGAAATACTAGGCAAAGAGAGAGAGAGACAGTGAGAGAATAGCGAAAAAAAGAAATCAAATAACTTCTTTTTTTACAAAATACAATTGGTTCCTTTTTTTATATGTTCAACAATAGTTCATATAAATACAACAGTAAATTGTTCAACCGTTGTTCACCATTTATTTTTGTATCATTATTTGGATTGACGGTCTAAAATGGTGAACAATTGAACAATCACCATCAATTGTACCAGAAAAGAAAAATGAAAAGGAATCAATAAAAATTCAGTTTCAACTCTGATTTCATTCTCTCTCTCCTCCAACTTTCAACCATTTTACAGAGTTATAGCTTAATCAAAGGCAAAACTGATAACCCGATAATATAACGATTAATATTAAAAATTATCAAGTTTTGTAGAGTAAAGCTAAACATTGTTTGGCAACGATTGATTATCCATCAAATTGTGACGCTTCAGCTGGTATTTTTTGCAACTGGAATGGTTGATGATGATTCTTGAGTCATTTAAATATACTCAAGTTAATTGTTAACTTGAGTTTTATCTTTTGCTAATGGAAAATCCAGACTTGTCCTTTTCTTTGCACAAATGGCTTTCCTTAATTTCAATTACAGTTACATTGGGTTGACTTTTGTTCCTTAATAAACTGGAAACACAAAAATGTTAGATTATTATTCAAAAAAGGACTAAAATATTACCTAAAAATTAACTTGACTCTGACCCTTTTTTTGTTAACTTAACCATGACCACTGCTGTGTTTGGTTTGGATACAACACGAATCTATAAAACAAAAGGAATGATTATCAGAATTATTCAAAACTTGATTTAAACAGAGGAATTTGAGTAAAAATGTTTGACAACTTGCCTTTTCCAACAATTGTATCATAATATATGAGATATTGAATGGTAACAAAGGATATGGGAAAAATAATGTCACTGCCACCAAAATTTGGATGCTGTTATTGGAAAGTTAAGCTGGATTCTTTGGCCTGAAAAGTTGAGATAAAAAAATGAGGTTATCAGGTGATGAATATATGTTTGTTTCTTGAATGTTTCTAGAGGAAAATTATTATTACAATCATTTTTGATGATTTTGCTTCAACTTGCCAACAGAATTGATAGTCATAACATAGTCAATTGAAAGAGAAACAGGGTAAAAATGAACAAATGGAAAAGGCATTGATTTAGATAAATTTGCTTTGTAAATGATATTCACAGCACATGTATCTATTAAAGTTAAATGATATCAGTTGAAGCCTATTTCAGGATGGATGGATTGACATCATGAATCCAGACCAAACCTTTTTTAACTGTAAAATGAGAATGAAAAAGTTTCATCGCATCTTCTCATCTTCCTCTTCATCTTCATCCTTTTCTCTTTCTGTAACATTTAGTAAACAAATCCATTATTTGGATTTACTTGCATCGTTACATTGATTTCAATTCTGTTTCTTTTAATGTAAAACACATTCTTTTATACAGCAAACAAACAGAGGGAAAAATACTAATTTATTTTGTTCGTCTTAACAAGCTCTTTTGTTTACTCCATGTTTCTGTGATGTTTGCAGGGAAAAAATTGAAAAAAGGAGAAAAAAGAAAAAATATTATTTTTTGTAATTTTGTTTTCCTGTTACTGAATTTGTCATAATCAAATTGTGATGTTAATTTTGCCTCCAAGTGATTCCAGTTGATAAACAAAAATAGGTTTCTTTGTACGGTGAAAAAATGCAGTAACTCACGACCTTATACTGAATAATGATGAAAATGTAAGAGTAATGTTGATATTTTGAAACCATTTCATTTTGAGTTCGACTTTGTCGCTTCAGAGGATAACTGGGATCAGATAAAAAAAAGTCAAATCAATAATAATCAACTGATTATATTGAAGTTTGCCTTGTTTTCGTTCTCTGTAGCCATCCATACACATGGAAGATAAATTATTGCAATTTATCAGTCTCCCAATAGATTAAAATGTTGCCTCGATAGATGTTGCTTATTATGATGACCTTACACCGTGACTTTTTTGTAATATCCAGAAAATTATCCAAAATGATCATCATTAGTTTCAGTCTGTTTGAGCCTTTCATTGGTTACCCTGAGTTTTTACCATAATTATTATCGACTTTCATCACACATTTCTCCTAGCTCAGTTGAATGGTATTATATGACTCCAAGAGCATAATTATTGATGGCTGAAAAGTACGAGAAAGAAAATTATTATTAGATAATTAAGAAGGGAATAATTAAAGTATAATGGAGGTAATATATAAATCTTACTAATTTATTAATCACCTTACCAATTGAACTGTAATTTTCATTAATATTAATTGATTGATTGATTTAATAGCTTTTATAGTGATCAGCAGTTTGTTCCTTCTATTGTCAACAATTGAATAGGTATTGAATAACAAGACTTTTCCAATTGTTTCCTTCTCATCTACATTGATCTGCATCAATTGATTGTTATTATCTTGTTATTCAAATCTAACCATTTTTCTTTTTTTACTGTACTCCGTCCAATTTGATTATCATGAGAGAATAGAGGTTCACTAAAGGAGATAGAGAAAGAGAAAAAACATGTAAATGTCAACATGATTGAAATATAATATTAATAATGGTTCACTTATTTACCATCCTTTTAACAAACTTTTATCATTCATGGGTTAGTAAAACTATCATGTGAGGATAATGGCAAAAGATTAAGATGATACTGATGTGTTGATCAACCATCCGATAGGTTGTTTCCATGGGTTGATCAAGAATCATCATCATCATCAATTCCCATCTCTTTATCTTCACTCTAAGATGGTTACACTTGCAAGAGAATTGGTTCGACCAATATATATATTTTTTTTTGTTTTCCCTTTACTTTAACTTCTTAGAGTAAATAATAATGTTTACTCATCTCTCACATTTTCTCTACTGACTTAATTAACTGAGAGTTAGGAACTGAATGAGATTTAGTAGCATTGATCCCTGCTAAAAGCTTAAATGGAAATATGATTTTGATAAAAATGAATGATGAACTGATGATGATAACAACAAAGTAGATCATCATGGTGAAAGTAAAGGAAAACAAGGATAAAACTGGGAACGCCATTGTACTTTTGCCATAACCATCAAATATTGTTATCATTATTCCCATCTCTGTATACGATCAGTATAATAAAAATAATCTACCATCGATTTTCATACCAAGTTATCATCAACAAATGATAATGAGCTAACAAGAAGAAAAAAAAGCTTCTTGCTGCGCTGTGTAAGTCCAGGAAAATCAATAAGATTTGATTTTGAGAATCACAATTGCTTGTTAACTAAATTCGACTTCCAGATTAGTTGATATCATGGAGACCAATTATTGTTGCTATTAGTTGTCCGTAGGTTGGTGAATCAGGTTTCTAGGATATTAAGAAAAGAATAGAAGGAGATTAGTTAAAAAAGGTTAAAACTAAACCGTCTTTACTTAAAGAGTTAACAGCAACCAACACTTTGCTCACAGAGTTGCAAACATGTTAACCACAAATAGAAACAACAAAATATAAAAGTCGCGTTATAATACTTACCAAAATTGTGGACCTAAATGGATAAAACACTGTAATAGACGTTCATTAAACACGAAACTAATAAAAGTAATCTTTCTAGAGTAAGCTGAATTAGAGTTGATTAGGTGAAAAGAGTTGACTTACATATGGTTAAAGCACTGTGTGGGTTAAGGAAAAAATTTAGAGGGAAAAACAATGTGACTTGTTAATACGTAATAGTCAGGGAAAGTATCCTAATCTTGTCTTTAATGAAAAGAGTTACTTAAAGATATGAAAACCAAAATGGTTTTAAATCATAATTTACTTTTCAAATGTTAACATTTTATTTAATTATTTTCTGTGATTAATTTTCGTCCTTTATTAAGCAAAAATAGTTGATATTAACTCTAATCAAAGAACAGATGATTGACTCAACAGAGACTTCAACGTGAACATGAAGGTAAAATGCTGGACTCCACTTTAATAGTTAATAAATGTTGTCATTTTACTGATGGTATATCAATCATTTACAATCTCAGGGTAAATTAATGTGCCTCAATTTTCACCATATTATATGTTTCATCATGATTATCAACACCATCATGAAAATGTTTCAACTATAAGCCATCAAATCAGCTGATTACTCGCCACTATCTATTAGTGATCATTTATATGCATATGCATATTTATCATTACCAATGTGAACCTTTTTTTGTTGCTTCAACCAATTTATGGTCTCATTTAAATAATCAAATTTACTTATCTAACCCTGGAGGCTTTATTTTTGTCCTCTTGTCTCTTTATATTCATAATAATTTCAGCTTTATTCCAGTTCTCCTTTTGTTTCTTTGTGTTATTTTTGTTCATTTAATGAAATACCTTTCAATGTGAAACGCTTATCTGTGTTACTTTGTTTCATCATTAATATTAACTTTGACTTGTTAATATCTAAATGGTTTTCAATTGGTAATTCAATTTTTTTCTCGGATCCCTTGCTGTTTCCATTTTCATCAAAAACTTCATGATTGTTATGGAAATTTTATCTTCTTTCACCATCTTCCATCATGTAACCAATTGAAGTAGCCTCAAGTTGAAAGTGATACTCTTCTTGATATGATTATGAAAAGCCTGATCAATACTCCAAGTCACTTGAAGGAAAGGATTGGAGGGCTAAGCTATATTACAAGGTAAGCATAGATTATTATGATGATGATCGTCATGAAAATCAAAAGATTAGGAAATAGTGCATAAATAATGGAGAGATTTCATTTTTCTTGATAAACTGAAAAGAGTCAAGATTCATTGAAAAACATTTTCTAACAAGATGATATTAATATTTTTCAAGAAAAATGAAAATTTTGTCCTCTTTTTCTTTCCTTTTTTACCTCTTCTTCAACATTTTAATAACCTTTTTCTTTTTCTCCATTTCTTGCAGATCAATAAATTCAAACAAAAAAGAGTGGAATCTTAAAATTGTTTATTCAGATTAATGTTTTAAGGAAACTAAATGGCTCATTAACCCATAAAAAACAAGGAAAACATGATCCAACCCAGGGTTTTAATGCATCAATGGATTAATTCAAATTGGCTTCTTCCACCTTCTCCAGATTTAACCTTAGACCGTATCATCTTTATCCTTATAACAATTACACCAAGAATGGGTGAAATCAAAATTATGCCTATGGAATTGAGTTGAACAAAATTCCAATATTATTCATCACGCACTTTGCTTGGAGTTAATCGAGATTCAAGTCTACCATTCGGGTCAACTTAATTTAATCTCATTAGGAAAAGGAGCAAACGAAAATGTCATTTCCATTTTCATGGACTTCCAAATTATTATTGAATGAAATCTCTTGTAACCTGATTTTGCTGAACCTGTTACCCAAAAAAAGCTTACTTTGTATTCTTAATTGAATCCTTTTGCTTTTTTCTGGCATAAACCAATTTGGCAAGCAGCAATCAATCGATAATCAAAACCATTTTCACATTTAATATTAGATTAGGTTTCAATCTATCAACAACATTAACCAAGGAAGGAGAAAGAAAATTGTCAAAGAGGAAAAAAATGTCAACAATTTTACACTTGAATCCTGATAACAATTTAAATGGTGGAAAAAAAGTTCAATTTAAATACTAATGTGATTTTTATTGTTGACTTGGAAGAAGCTGAACTGAGAAAAACTTATATTTTTGTGATTAATCAAGCTGAATATGAAAATGGGTTTACATGTTCACTGACTTGACTGATCAAAGGAATGATAAATTTTCACTTTTATATTCAATGTAACATTCAATTGTACACAGTTGTTACTATTGATAACAACCAAATGCTGTAAGGATAAATTAGAGGTAAATAAGGAGTGAGTTGTTCAACAGCAGTAAACCTTTGTAAATAGTCATCAATTATCTGTTGATGTTAAAAAGCAAAGTGAATCAAAAGAAGTAAAAATGAAATAATATCTCATCTTTATCTTCATGGTGCTCTCTGTATTTGTTTTCAACCTAATAGCTGTGAAAGGTTGGCAGAAAGCAAATATTTTTATATGAATGTATCTATTCAATGGAAACATTTTCATAATTCATTTACCCCGTTAATATCATTTTAATTTACCTGCTTACCTCTTACCTTCTTGATTTTTACCTATTAATATAACATTAACATTACTCTTACCTTTTTATCAATCCTCAGTATGGTATTAAAAAGAAGGAAGAAAAGGAAGAGGAAATGAGGAAACAACAAGAAGCCCTAATGGGTGGTTCAACTGATGGTGGACTCAACCGAGCCAAGAAAACTCCTGAGGAATTAGCAGCTGAAGCTGCTGCTCAAGAGCAAGATGAATTTACGAGTAAGTAATTTGCTTTATTAAATAATCATCACACATGTTAATGTTCAACTCGTAATGTTTCATATTTAATCGTAAAAATGCATTTTCTCAAAATAATTACAAAATTTATAAAACGCGCTTCAACTCTTTCCCTCCATTAAGTCGGCGCTTCTCCCTTCCATTAAGCCATATGTTGAGACAATTTTTCATTTCAGCCATTTTTTTCAATTTAATTTTTTGATTCTAATTTTAACAGTTAATTTATTTTTGATGTACAGTTATTGTTACTCTTCAACCAACCTTTTTATCAAGTCTGGGAATCAACATGACTTGCTTACTTATTGTGCCTTCTGATAATCGGTTTGACATTTTGTCTGTCTAATTGGTTCTAGACATTAAAATTTTACCTCTGCCTAATTGTGTGTTAAATTGATTTTCATGGTGACTCCTGTTGTCTTACAGGATTAAAGTTCGGGGATCGTAAAAGTGTGCATAACTATAACTTTATTCATCAACTAATTAGACCCAATCAACTTTGGTGTTATTACCTCAAGATATTGTTACATTCAAATTGGCGTATTGAGGTGAAAACTTGAGAAGCTATTTTTTTACTCTCTTTTCTCTCAACTTTTCCCCGAATTATAATCACATCAGAATCATCATACAAGTCATTTTGTGCCTTCGCTCCTTCTCATGATGATGAAGTAAAAATAAGGAAAGCAGTCAACCAATTGAAAGGATTAATTATTTTTGATAGTAATATTTAAGAGTATATGAAGTGAAGAAAATAACAGTTGAATATCACAATAGAAAGCTTAAGATTAAATTGAGTTTCACTCTTAACTATTGTTATTAATACCATCATCATCATCTCAATCACCTTCACCTTGCATCATCATGATCATTATTTATTTGGAGGAAGAAGAAAATGTTAAACAGAAAATAATTGTATCAACATTTTTATTTGTATAATTTTCTTATCACAAGAATTCATATATTCACTTCATCATTAACTTAATCATCAACTCTTTCCTTCATCTTTAATCATACTTTCACCTTTACTTTAAAACCTATGAATTATTAATTTTATTGATTGTTAACCAACAACAATGGGATCATTTTTTGCCAAGCAAACCAAAAAGATTTGACCTCAAAGTGAAAGTTTACTTGATTCTGTATGTGGTTTCCACCAGACTTTAGATTACAATTTATAGATTGCCAATCAGCCAGTTGTCATCGCATTTCCAATCTAATTATTTACCAAGAAGAAAAAGTTGAAGCTGAATTTACAAAATTCATAAGCCTTCAGTTGAAATAACAAGTGATCATCAATTTTACTAGAAACAAGTGAAACTCATCTTCTAATGCAACCCAATTCACACCAATAGACTCTTAAAATAAGAATTGATGAATATTATTTATCTTGAAATTAACTGAATACTTCTTTTATCTCCCAAACTTGATTCATTCCAGTTTCATCAGTGAATTATTGAGTTTACCAGGAACAAGTAAAGTGGAAAAGATTGAATCACTCGTCACCAGAAAATATCACTCAAAAAGTTCCTTCGTTTTTACAGATGACTTTTGCTTCGATTTTGACTTATGACCCAATAATTTCAGACCGATAAGAGACCTAACTGTCCAAATTATCAAAACGAAGCTAAAGTCATCTGTAAAAACGACGGAACTTTTTGATTCCCTAATATTTGAACGTTAATTTTGATTGTTAACTTGCTCATGTTAAACAACATTTGTGAAATGAAATTAACATCAAAGTTGACAAAAATGACAGATACAAAAGTCAAGCTTTGATCAAAAAGATTGACTTGGTTGCTCATTTTTTGCTGTTTAAATTAACTTTGACTTTTGTTCATGTTTACCTTAACAGTTACAATTGAAATGACGATTTACAATTGAACATAAATGAAGGATTAACTTTTCTCTGAAAAATGAGATTAACATTTATGAAAGTGAATTTAAAATTTGATGGGAAATCTCATGAAATAAACTCTGCTTCTAATCTTACCTTTTCATTTTCACACAATGAACACTCTACTTGATTCCCTGAACATTGAATCAACTAATCAATCTTGACGATGTTTCCCTTGTCAACCATAATTGATTAATGCAAGTCAACATTAACGGCTGCTGATTAAACACAATGTTTGAAATTAAATTTTCAAATTATAATCCTTTATCCCATTCGATTCCCAGGGTGATGTTCAATCATCACTGTTAATCAATTGAACATAAAATGATTAAAAAGCCGAGCATTGAACATGAAACAGTTGATCAATAGATTGTCATTTGCATTAGAACGGCTTAAAGTCCTAAACTTTAAAGTGAATCTAAATCCATGTTCAACCAATGAAACGAGCTAAATCAAAAGTCCAATCAATCTAATCAAATTGTTAATCTACGAAGCTTAATGAAAGCGCATGAACAATCAGTCAACTTTGATTTTTTGCAAAATTTGTCCAACACTTTGATTCCAAATCGACTCCTAACATGAAAAGTAAATTAGTCAAAAATGAAAACATTAATCTTCAAAATTCAATTTTTAATGTTCATTATTGTATCAATTTTGAAACATGAAGCTCAAATTGAACATTTTGTTATTTTGTATTTGTATGAATTGATACTGAACTTGACAAGGACATTTTTTTAAACTGTAAAATGAAGCTCAAGATTAGTTGATTATTTGAAGATAAATTTGTGGAAAAATTAGAATATCAGAAATGACTAAATCTCAGAATTGCAGTTCAAGACGATGATTGAACCTCGTTCACAAGTGGAGTTTGGAGTTGAGAGCTGGAGTGATGTGCTTAGACTTATCCTGTTAAGTCAGGTGGTGATTTGGAAACAAGCCCTGTACTTGAAAACGATTTAACTTGAAGTTCATTTAAACATGAAAAATACTGAAATCAGGTGAACTTTTTGCTGTTTCAAGTTCACTGTTAACTAAACAAAGCAAGTCACTTTTCAACTTCCCAAATAGTAAGCTACAGGGCTGAACTTCTGATTATGTTAGAGTTCGATTTGAGGTCTTGAAATAGTTTTCGAAGTCAACAAATCTTTCTAATGAAGTTGTGACACACTGTGATGAACGCTGCTCGGGTTATTGGCATTTGAGTTTCCGAACATCATTGCATGAATTATCTCTTTGCAAATTTGATCGCTTCGTTTATAGCTTTTTGCCCTTCATCTTAAAAACTAAACATGCTAAACTTGATTACACTTACGGAATCGGCAGAACAATTTAAATTTGAAAATTAGATGAATTCAGAGATCAGGCCATTTCGTCTGTTCTTGCTGACGTCCTTCTTTGATTGATTTTGTCTTTTCTGTTTTGGTTTTTTTTCTAATTTTGAAACATTTCTTTCATGTCTACTTGTCTTACTATGGTTTTATCATTTACTCATTTCTTTGTTGATTATGGATTCAGTTGATGAACAATAATATGAATAACAATGGATAATATAGTTCGTGACAGTTGATTGAACAGCATGGGAATAGTTGATCTGAATGGTGATAGAAGCTCTTATAATTCAAATGTGAGTCTCAATTAATTATACATCAACTATTAAAGTGTCACTTTAACATGATATATATTATACAATATTTACCATGAAATGTTTACCTTTGCTTGTAATTAACTTTTCAACGTAACTTTGTATTGGATTTTGATCAGTAAATCCAAAGGCAAACCAATGAAAAGAACCCAAGAAAAATGTTCAATGTAATACAGTTATTGAAATGTATTTTCAGATGATTTAAAGCAATAAAATGAAAAGATATGAGCCGACCAAGAAATAACAGTTAATCGAGTTAATACAATCCTTGAAATGTTTTCTGGTTTCATCTAATGGTAGGTTACCATGTAATTGAAAATGGTTCAGTCCCATTCGGTAGTTAATGTTTTGTGTTGTAACATGAACACACAAGATACAAGAAATTGATTTAACATGAAATAGATCAACCTTTAACCTTCACCATTCTGTAAATGGATAAGGTTTGGATTAATCTTGTGATTTCATTTCAACATAAAACCTGAAGCTATGAAGACACAGACGTTGAGTGTGTTTCAAGCCATTTTAATGTTTACTTCAAAAGGTTGGGTTTGGGTTTGGGTTCAAAATGGACTTGGGTTTAACCGTTTAATGTGAAAATATGAAACTTTGGTAAACTCAGTTGATGAAAATTACTAAATGGATTAACGATTTTAGGGAAAACGATTTGTACGAAACAAAGGAAACGATGGATTGATTCTTATGAGTTGAAAAGATTGTAAGCTGACAAGATAATGGTGATGAGGATGATTATGAAGATGATGGTTATTAGTATGAGGATGATGAAGGTACCAAATGAGAGCAGATTACGTGATGGGTGAAGATGAAGATGAAATGCATGATAAGGAATCATGTTATTACATTGAATATCTTCCCTGTTGACAGAATAGTTATTTTCATTGTCTTGATCATTATCTTCTTCTTGACTATAAACTTGAAAGGGAACATTCAAGATTCTTTCAAGGTTATCATGATTCTCATTCTAGCTGAGTCTTTCATTTTTCTCAGGACAATTCGATCGATAAATCTTCCATTCTCATCTTTTCTCTTCCTTCCTACTCTTGTCTCTTTCATTGTCTTTTTTACCCTTTTCCATGCCATTCTATTCATCATAATCATTTTTGGAAAAAAAAATTTCTCTTCTCTTCTTCGTTTTTAATCTTCTCATTTTGGACAATTTCAATCGTTTCCTTTTCCCCTTTAAATCCTCTTTAACACAGCCTATTAATCTCATGAACTGAACAATAAAATGAGCTTTAAAGCTATCGATTATCGCTTAAGAATCCAACGAAAAGAGTAATTTTATTTTATTCATTTTATTTACTCGTCATTTTGATTTCATTTTGATCTTTGCTTCACTTTGGTCTGACGATTAACTCTGATTTAGGTGACTTGAAATAAAAGCAATTTTTTCTCATTTATTTTCTGGTTCCATTTTTGATTAACCAGAAT